CCCGTGTTGGCTGCGTTCGTGGTCGTGGGCTCCCTGCTGCCTAGCACGCCCCTGCTTCCCGTGGCTGCTCGGCTTAGCGTCCCCTTTGGCACCCCGGCCAGTGAATTCCCAGCAACAGAGTTGGAACAGACTTCAAAAGGATTTAAAGTGAGCAACCTTTCTATCTCTTGATCCTCTCAGCCATACATGGGATTAGGCGCTGGCTGAAGCCCTGAGCTGCTTGCGCTGCCTTCTCGTTCTTCAGGGTTGCTATCACAGGGCAGGCACCGGTTATCCCCAAACCCGCCTTTGTGGTGAAAACCAAGTGGAAGCTCCATCCCCAGCACTGCTGCTTCTGGACTTCAGATATTGGGACACTGCTTGCGCCCAGAGCTGAAGAGCTAAAGAGGGCCACAGGAGCCCAGCTGGGGACCTCAGATGAGTTTGCCCAGTAAAATGCACTTGGCAAAGCCCAGCAAAGCTGCTGCTTGACCACTTTGGTGTTGGGACTGTCCTGGGCCAATCTTCGAATCCAGCAGGAGGAGGTGAAGCTCAGTTAGCCCAAACAAAGTCTCCTAACTGCATTATTAGCCATCACCACCAACCTTGCATCGTTCCAGGACTGAGCTATTCTGTTTTTAACTGGGTTGTTTCTCCTTGGGAAATATGCTGGATCCTTTCGTGGCACTGCCATGTCATCGGGCAGTGCTCAGCTCCTAGGGCGAAGGAATAGTGCTGGGGTAACACCGCGAGGACCAGCAAGGATCATTTCCCACTGACAAGGGGAGTTTGGGTGAGAGGAGAAGAGACGCTGGGAGAGCTGCAAATCTCAACAAAGGACTAAGCTTTCAAAATGGAAAATAAAAAACTAAAGGAAAGGCAGGGGTGGAGTTGTTTTTTAGTTTTCCAGACGACAAAAGATCTGCTCAAAAATTTTGAGTCATGAAAATGGAGAAAGTTTTTGAGAGAGAGAGAAAAAATACTGTGGTTCAGCTTAGAGTAGCTGAAGAGCAGTTTGAGCTCGATGTTACTAGTTTGTATTTGCCCTGAAGGATGGGTCAGCATCATGTAAAGTTTGTCCTTGAAAGGGATGCCTAGACTTTTTCCAATAGGTGGGGATGGAAATTAGAGTAGGAGTCACTTCATTATGGAGATGAGGATGGGAAATTGCTCAAATGAAGTACATAGTGCAGAACTGGAGATGTTTAATGATCACTAGAAGAAAAAAAAAAAGGCAGCAGCTGGCATAGTGGAAGAGACGTAATACAAACTCTGGTTCCCCACCTCAGTCAAAAAGAAGGGCTGAGCAGAACAGCGGTGAGGACGTCAGGGTCTGGAAGCAGGATTTCTACTTACTTTTCCACTTTTGCTACTGAGTCGCTGCATAGTTTTGTATAAATCTTGTCTCCTGCGTGCCTCAGCTTAGCCCTGTTTGGCACAAGAAGAAAAAAGCTGGCTAACCTCAGAGCGGTGGTAGACATCAGTCTCTACTGCCCTGTGTTTGAGGGCCCCTGGGCACAGGAGAGGACTCAGACCGGTCCGTGCAAGTGATGGAGCCAGCAGGGTCTCCTGGGACAAGCCTGTAAGCTCAGCCGTGAGGCCACCTTGCCGCAGCCGGACCAGCTGGCGCCTTGCTGTGAGGGCTACGGCACTGGTACACACCGGGTAATGGCCTGGCAGAGTCACCGCTGCTGCTGGTGCCACTTCAGTTTGTTTGTCTTGCTTAATCCCCAAAGGCAGCATCTTTGTCACGGCAGCAGCGTGATTAAGATGATACAGCGTTGCTGTCCCAAGCATGTAATTACGGGTTTCCTGTGTCACTCCTGCTGGGAGGTCAGCAACTCGCCCTCCCTCACTCCATCGGCAGGAGGGGAAGGCAGCCA